GTAGAAAAACAAAAACAAACGAATGAGTATTGTCGACTTTTTTTTTTTATTGTGGTGGAACCTAGCGTCTAGCATGTGCTAGGCAGGTGCTCCACCACTGAGCTACACCGCCAGCCCTTTTTATTTTTAGACAGGGGTTGGTGAGTTGGCCAGGCTAGCCTCAAGCTTGCAATCCTCCACCCTTAACCTGAGCGGTTGGGCTACAGGCACGAGGCACTGTGCTTAGCCTGCCTTAACTTTTTATTTATTTATTTATTTTTAATATTTATTTTTCAGTTTTCGGTAGACACAACATCCTTATTTTATTTTTATGTGGTGCTGAGGATCGAACCCAGCGCCCCGTGCATGCCAGGCGAGCGCGTTACCGCTTGAGCCACATCCCCAGCCCCCTGCCTTAACTTTTAAAATGGACATTCTTTAAAAGTTTTTAAACTCTCCTCATTGAAAATAGAATTTTTGATATTTGAAAGGTAATACTCACTGGCAGTGGCTGGACTCCCAGTACTTGGGAGGCTGGAGGCAGTAGAATCATTTGAGCCCAGGAGCATTCTAGGCTAGCATGGGAATACTAGCAAGACCCCTTGTCAAAAATGGAAAGAGTAGAGACGAGAGGAAAAGAAAAAGGAGAAGAGAGTGAAAGGAGAGGGATGGGGAGGGAGGGAGGGAGGAGGGAACAGAGGAAAGGAGGAAGCAAACACACACTGAAACAACAAAGTCATAACATGAATTTAAATTAAACTGGCTCCTATTGCTCAAAGAATACTGAAGTTCTATACTGGGAATATAGTTGAAGGAAGCTGAATGCAATTTATCCACATAATTTTGGGCTTTTATTCTCCACTTCCTTCTTCCTTCCTCAGTAAAGCTTTAGGAATGTGATTTTGGTGGACATGGTATTCCCTCGCTTGGACACATTGTAACCTCTCCATTCCCAAGGGAACAATTTCATCTGTTTCTGGAATATCGTGATGCTGCTGCATGCTTCCTTGTGTGAGATCTCTGTGTTCCTATTTGCCTCAGGAAGCCTGAGTGACCTATTTCTTCAGCTTGGAGCAAAAATAAACATCACCATCCTTTCTTGCTTGTTCTTTATTTCTGCCCAACCTCACTTGCCATTACTGGCAGGGAACCAATGCCTCCCTCTTGGAATTAAAGCACCCAGAACTCAGTCAAGGGAGTCAAGAGCACTGCTTTATCCAACCAGGGGGAGAGAGAAAGTCCGGTAGGAAAGGGGGAGGGAGGGGGAGAGAAAGAAACACACTATGAATGAGAGAACACTGGAAATTGAGTGCACCTACTGGTTTGGTCTGATGAGCTGGTAGCGCATAAGGCAGCTCCTGAAGCTAGATCTTGTTGGGTCTGCTGTGTCCTGTCCACTGCAGTGTTGATGTCCATGACCTACATTCCTAGGAGCCCACACAAGACCCACTTAAGGTTCAGGTTACTGCTATCTGCATTCAAATTCCCTTTATCCTCTATTAATAACTGAGTAGGGGCCATGGTGGATACACCCACCCATGGTGGATAACCCCACTGAGTCTCGGCAGCTTTCCCCATGAGTGCTAACTTCAGGGTTGCCTTTCTTCCTTTGCAACCTCCTCTGTGTTTTTGGGGTCTCTTTATGTGGAACAGACATCTATCAAACTTTTTTTCCCCTGCGATAAATCTATATCTATAAAATAGAATTCAAATAGGTATCTATGAAGATTGGAAGATTCAGAGACCTTGTTTTCCTCTTGATTCATTCATTTATTTGTAAACTCTAATAACTAACATTCAGTTATGTGTTCATAGCTTTTACCTTTTGAGTTACTGTTGGTTTTGGACTGCATAGGAATCCATGAATGTTATACACTCACTCTGGGTTTGATCTTCTCGTGGTGGAAGATCTTTGTCCTTTGTCATCTTTTTTTTTTTTCCCTCTGAAAGCACGCTTTGTTTAGTGACAGTATTCCTAGCTCTACCTCATTTTGGCTTGTGTTGCTTCTTAGACTTTCTGAAAGAGATTACTTGGATGAAAGGTTCTTTCCTGCTGAATCAGGATCTTCTTTTCAAAAAAGCTTTCAGGGGCTGGGGTTGTAGCTCAGTGGTAGAGTGCTTGCCTTGCATGCGTGAGGCCCTGGGTTCAATCCTCAGTACCACATAAAAATTTTAAAAAAAAGAATAAAAATAAAGATTAAAAAAAAAAGCTTTCAGTGCATGAGAATACACCATACTCCTAGAAAGAGCAATCTGTAATGGGCGCCTCTGTTCCCTACTACAAACAAAAAAACCCCCATAACACTTTGTGAGTGTAAATTGCTACATGCTTGGTGGGAGACAGTTCTCCAGGTTCTCTGGCTGTTCTGTATGTTTTGTGAACAGAGGCAACAGTTGCTTTTAGATGTTCTCTTTAAGGATGTTTGTGCAGTGAGTAGAGTGTGGCGGAGCCTCTAAGCTGCTCGATCTTTTCCACTCTAATTCCAGATATATTACTTGCTTTTCCCCAAAGAGGCAAGGCTATTTTGTGGGCTCATCTATTTCCCTTTGCCTAGAACACCCTCCCCCATTTTTCTCCCTTCCTCATCTCCCCTGTATGGAAATCTCCCTTTCAAGTTTAAGACTCCACTCAAGTCCTTTCTTAACCTTCTGCACTTACCCCCAGTGGGGACAGTTACCCTTTGCTTTTTGCTAACGAGGAGCCCTGAAAAATGCTGCTGGGCGGATGCCTTGGGCAACGCTATTATGTGTGTTGGATCTTAAACATCCACAAAGGCTCATGTGGGGAAGGCATGATTCAGCAGATGGCGCTGTTGGACAGTGGTAAAATCTTTAGGGGAGGGCCTCATAGAAGGAAGTTTGGTCACCAGGGGCATGTCCTTGAAGAAAATATTGGGATCCTGGCCTCTTCTTCTCTATTTCTCTTCCCAGATACCACAGAGTGACAGGCTTTGCTCTGCCACATGCTCCCTGTCCTATAGGCTGAAAGCAGCAAGACAAAAAGACCATGGACAGACCTTTCTGAATCCATGAGCCAACATAAATATTTTCTCCTTTTAGTTGATTTTATCAGGTATTTTGTTACAGTGCCAGAAAGCTGACTAGTATAGCAAAAAAAAACCAAACAAAACAAAACAAAAACTCTTTTTGGGCTGGAGTTGTAGCTCAGTGGTAAAGCGCTTGCCTAACACATGTGAGGCACTGAGTTTGATCCTCAGAGCCACATATGAATAAATAAATAATAAGGATATTGTGTTCATCTACAACTAAAAATATTTTAAAAAGCTATTTTCATGAAAGACTTTCTTCCTAGATGCTAGGATTTTCAGTGGTAGATGATTCTCAGCTTTCAGACTAATCTGGATATCATCTTGCAAAATCTAAGCTCACAACTTCCTTCCCAGGTAGATCAATGCCAAGGTTCAATTGCCAGTTTTCAACACCCCAGATGAACAACTCCACAGTGCCGCACTCACCCCACTGAGCCGGTGTTGACCAGGGGTTTCCATTACAAGTAAAGAGTAAACTATGAGACATCCGAAAGGCATCTACTCCAGAAGCCTGAAGTTTGTAAACTATAGTGTGCCGTGTTATTACAGAGACAGCCTGTCAGGGTTAGGCTGCCCTTTATCTCAAACATGTTCAAAGACTAAGCCCATCTAAGTCATGTGTTCTTACTATTCCCATTTTCCAAGTGGAGAAGATATGGTGTCAGTAATCTTCCTCCGAAGGTGTACAGACATAGGAAACAAGAATTGCAAAAAAACAGGAATACACCCATGACTGAATGAAGAAAGGGGATAAACAACTAATTTGCACATCAGTGGGCACAGACTCACATCACCCAAGTAATGAGGCTTGAAGTCCCAAGGGATTTCATACAGATTTGTCTATATCTTATGAATTCATTTCTAATATCTTTAGTTTTTGACCAAAGAATTACATCTAAATTTTTTTTTTTTTTTGATACTGGGGATTGAACTCAGGGGCACTTGACCTCTGAGCCACATCCCCAGCCCTATTTTGTATTTTCTTTAGGGACAGGGTCTCACTGCGTTGCTTAGTGCCTTGCTTTTGCTGAGGCTGTCTCAGCTTCCTGAGCCACTGGGATTACAGGCGTGTGCCACCACTACCGTGCCCGGCTACCTCTAAACTTTGATGATAATCTTTGTCATCATTGTTGGGTCCAAAGGGGCTGAGAAAGTAGGTGGCACAATTATTCTCTGCTTGTCTCTAACAAGACTCTTTGGGAATCTGGTCCCAGTGGCCAAGAGGCTCCTGTAAATGCTTGCCCTGAGATTGCCCCACACAGCATTCCTGCAGGAAAGACTAAGTCCACGAATATCTGCTCCTCACTCATTCAGGACCTGCTGACATTTCCAAGACCCCAGTCTCTACAAAACAGAGCAGCACTAGCCAGTCATGTCAAGGTAAAGAGAAACAGGTAGCCATAGTTCCAAGCTCCCTGGTAAGGTTGCAGTAGTGGAGACATAAATATTTGTTTAAAGACATGGACTTCTTTCAGTAACCTCATTTGTCACATCTGACAGAAAAAGGAAGTAGTAGAGTTGTCCTGACTTCATTGGCTGTCACTTGAGAGAAACTCATTAATAACAAGCCATTTCTTTTGCTTCTTTATGAGCTACGAAGGGTGGCGGACAGAGAATGAGAAATGTAAGCAAAGACACACGGTCTGAGATTCTGTGCTTTTTTGGTGTTAAATATACAAAACAAGGGGATGGGGCTGTAGCTCAGTGGTAAAGTGCTTGCCTAGAACCTGTGATGCACTGGTTTCGATCCTCAGCACTGCATAAAAATAAATAAAGAAAGGTATTGTGAAAAAAAATTCTTTAAAAACTATTCAAAACAAGAATCAGCAAGTCAAATAGGAAGAGCATTGGAGTGGAGTGTTGGAAACTGTACATGCTGGGTGGGGTTCACCCTATTTTAGCAACTCTGAACAGATTTGCAAATGTGGGCCTGCCTGGAAACTGATCACATCCTAAACATCCTTATGTAGGTTTTGAATTTGCTGTTGTCTCTTTATCTGGGTTCAGACCATGAGAGGCACAAACCAGAGCGTCTCCGAGTTCCTCCTCCTGGGACTCTCCAGGCAGCCCCAGCAGCAGCGGCTCCTCTTCCTGCTCTTCCTGATCATGTACCTGGCCACCGTCCTGGGAAACCTGCTCATCATCCTGGCCATCAGCACGGACTCCCGCCTGCACACCCCCATGTACTTCTTCCTCAGCAACCTGTCCCTTGTGGACATCTGCTTCTCCTCCACCACTGTCCCCAAGATGCTGGCCAATCACATCCTAGGGACGCAGACCATCTCCTTCTCTGGGTGCCTCACACAGATATATTTTCTTTGTGTGTTTGCTGACATGGACAATTTCCTCCTGGCCGTGATGGCCTATGACCGCTTTGTTGCTGTATGCCACCCCTTACATTACACAACCAAGATGACCCATCGGCTCTGTGTCCTGCTGGTGGCAGGATCTTGGGTCATCGCCAACCTGAATGCTCTGCTGCACACTCTGCTGATGGCCAGGCTCTCGTTCTGTGCAGACAATGCCATCCCCCACTTCTTCTGTGATGTGACTCCCCTCCTGAGACTCTCCTGCTCAGACACACACCTCAATGA